TATGCCATCACAACAGCTAAAGTCGAGTGCTGGCAAACGAGTTACTCGCATTTGTGCCAATTACGCTGTCATCCTAGCATTTATTGTTTGTGGGGATACAGAACTCAACCCAGGGCCGACTCAATTGATCTGTGTCAAACACGTAGTAAACTTGTCCTGCAGTGGGAAAGAGGAATCTATTGTGAGGATTGTAACACCTGGTTCCATGCTAAATGTTCAGGCATATCTGCGCGTGAGCATAAATGCTCCAACAGTCTGTTGATCCATGGTACTGTAACACTTGTTCCGCTCCCTGTGGTTTCTGTGATGAATCTGTCCGGAATGCTGATCCAGCAGTGCAATGTGATATTTTTGACCATTGTATGCGTGCACATTATGCTGGCCTGAATATCTAAGTTAACATATAACTGTTTGCAAATTTCTGACTCCCCCTGGACCTGTGTGAATTGTGAACTGGCAAGGTTTTAGGATTCCTTCTTTGATAGTGAGTCGAACTCGGCTCAGAGATCTCATCTACATGAGCATGATAGGATTATACATGTACCCGGACATACGAAGAAAGTCAGCTTGAAAATCAAATGTCTCTTAATAATTGAAACTGTCAGTGTATTAGAGGTAACACAGCTGACTTGGCAGCTCTCATAAGTACATGTAAACCTGATATCATCTGCTGGACTGAATCATGGATTAATTTGTCGATAAGTAGTGGTGAGATTTTTCCATCTAATTACAGTCATTTGCAAAAGTTTAAAACCAAATGGAATTTTATTGGTATTTCTGTCACTGGGCCTGCATTTCATTGTCTCATTGAATGATTACTTAACATGATTTTACAGTGGTGAATAACATCACTGTAGTGCTATATACCCAACTTGAATGAAATTTTTTGCAAAGGCAGGTCTTGTAATGACATTTTGTCTGTTGGGCAGCTTGGGTAAAAAAGCTAGTCTAAGCAATCATAAATAAAGGAATATTAAACTTAACATTTCAAATCATGGAAATGGTTTCAAAAATGTTCAACCAAAGTTACATATTGAAAATAAATATAAAGTTGCCATGATTAATTTGTTTCAGTTTGGTTTTCCTTCAGGTTAATGCATTTTCTATGGGTGGTCCTAACCTTTTGCAAATGACTGTACACAATTTATCACAACACAACTGGCAGGGGTGTCTTCCAGGCCACCATCCACATTTAGTTTCCAGTGAACTTGAAAATGCTATTTGCGATTGCAAAATTGCCTGGACTGAAATCATGCGTCCACATAACAAATCTATCCTGATTGGATCCTATTATAGGCCGCCAAATGATCAAAAAGAACTCCAGTTAGATGAGCTCAGGACATCTGTTGGCGCCTTGAAGACCAAACTGAACTGCAACTCTATTTATGTCATGGGATACTTTAATATTCCTAACATAAACTGGAATGATAGAACAGTTTCCAGTGGGCAAGGATACAGCAAGATGATAGAAGAAAAGTTACTTGACATCTACAGAATTTGGTCTGACCCACTGTGTTAGAGAATCTACTAGGTCATAAGGAATACTCACAATATTCTTGATTTAGTTTTAACTAGCAACTGCATACAGCAGCATTGCTGAAATTGAAGTTGATAGAATTTCTGATCATGACATTGTTATTGATATCAACCTGAAAACTACGAGAAAGAGGCTGCCAGTTAGGTCTTTTTCAGACATAAGGCCGACAAAGTAGATGTTCACAATGTAGATGTTCACAATTACCATTCAGACTATGTAGTTCTTGCAGCTGTTAAAAACACTGAAGAAAAATGGGCATTTATCAGTAATGCGATGGGGTCGTGGCTTGGAGTCCATCACTCCATAAAAGTGATGCTGACAAAACTTGGATTGTCTACTCCAGAGGATGATTTTATTATCAGAGAGCCTATGCAGAAAAACCCCTGCAGAAGGAGGCCGTGAAATTACAATAGTAATTTCTGATCTCCATACATTGAGCTCTTAAATAAAAGACTGATTAAGTTTATATAAATTTATATTAAAATAATATTTGCACAGAAGTGAATAATTGGAATATTGCAACCAGCAGAGACATAAGAGAATAAATTCAATCTTACCCCGATGCAGATAAGAATATAATGTCTTACAAATGAGTGCTCCCCTCTTCTATGTGAGTCCTCCGAGAATCGGCTACAATATGAACAAACAAGGCACATACTGTACATCACTATACACACATAAGAATGGTGCATTGATCCTCATAACACGCAAGGTGCTGTACATGACACACTTGAGTGCATGGAGCTGGTGGTTACATATATCTTTAGTTGGGCTTATCGGAATAAGTGTCAAAATGGAATATAAATTCGGACAGCCGGCAGTCCAGCCAGTGGTTCATGTGTACAAGCACAAGACAGCGGACCGCGGTGGGCATACAGGAGCGACCCCATGCGCGCGCTGTTCCATTCTTCATTGCAACCCCCCATGATTCGTAACTACCAACAAAATATTATTTGTACTGCTGTGATAGTTTATTATAACAAACAGGAATTAATATAAATGACAATTGTACCAATCATATCCCATTAGGCTTGGCACTTAAACAAGGAGTATTAAGGCCTGTTTGTGAACGGAAAATTACAACTTAAAGGTGGAGGTAAGTACATGACTGGATGAATATTGAATAATAAATTAGGCCCACATTAATAATTTACAACCCATACATTCGTTAAATATACGCACATTAAAAAGTACACATCCCTACAGTAAGAAATTGCAGGAACTTTAAGAAAGACATGTACCTCACAAATTCTCTTCCAGCAGGTACAATGTGCCATGGTTCAACAGCTCACAGAAACGGGATAACAGGAAAAAACGTCTGTTATATAAAAAAAGATCAATCCTTCCACGGAGGCAGGGAGAGGGTATACTGGTGCTAAATAATACAGAGGAGACAAGATAATGGAATGGACAACTAACACTTTGCCTATAAGGGACAGTTTGCGACCCTTCCATTTATTGATACAAGTAAAAAAGGCGGGAATTCGATCTTTCCAGCTCCTGGCGCCCATATTACCCTTCCCAAGAAAAACACCATTAATCTTGATGGGATCTCGAGTCCATTTGATAGGAACTAGAGAGGAAAGATCAGACGGCCAAGAGCCCAACATGAGACCATGGCTCTTTGCATATTTAGACGTGACCCGCTTGCTAATTCAAACTGCTGGATGACGCCAAACAACCGCCTCAAAGACCTGCGGTCCCGGATAACACAAGTGGTGTAATCTGCGTATTGTAGAACTTTACACTGCATGCCATTGCTACCAGGAAGCACCAGACCGTCAATACGACGGTCGGATAACAGAAGAAAATGGTTCAAAGAAAAGGACATATAAAAGAGGGGTGCAACCTTGTCGCAACCCCCTCGATAAAACAAAGGGTTTGGACAAAAAAGGTGGCCAAACCCTGAATGTCTGTATACAAAAGCTTGACCCAGCGCAAAAAAATTGGACCTAAACGAAAAGTTTCCATTACTTTAAACAAATAGTTCCAATTCAACCTGTCAAAGGCCTTCTGCTGGTCCAATGAAATTACAAGAAAATCAAGGTTTTTGCTATTCACATACTCAATCAGATCGTGGTGGAGTCTGATATCGTAGTGGATGGACCTTCCTTTGACCCCAAATGTCTGAAAAGGACCGATAATATCCGGCAATACCTTGCCCAAACGAAGACACAAGGCCTTTGATAGGGTCGTATAGTCAACACTAAGAAGCGAAATCGGTCTTTTATTACGGGGATCCAGAGGATCTCCTATTTTTTCCAATCCCCACTCCTTGGGAATCAGACAAGGTGCGAAGATTCCATGAAAGACTCTCAAGAA